TTGAAGAGCAACGTATAAAGGAATTGCGGCAGCAGGAGTTGGGAACTACTGGTCTCTTTGGTGAGAGATGAATTGTTAAGTGATGGCTGAGGCCCAGCCGTCCATTTATTATATAGAATTGCTATTTATGAAATTGGTGGGGGAGAGGAGTTGAATTGAATAAGAGGAAGATAGCACTGCTTTTCACAAGATGATTGGTGCTGGTTGCCCTGGGGCTCGTCCTGGTAGTTGGTGAATATATGTATATTGTACTTTCAGTAAGGATTGACTTTCATCTGGAAATGAATGCATGTGTAGCACTTGCATACTAGTTTTAGCATATTTCCTTTTCAGGAAAAGAAGCTTTTGCTGTAAAATGTTCTAGTAGAAAATGGAAAATTATTGAATTTGAATTGGGCTTCAATGTTGAGTTATGATTTACAGTTTTATTGCTTTATGTTTTCTAAGTATACCTTTAGGCTACGAGAAACAACTGGGTGTAGTAGAGGGAGGATGCTTGTCTTTCATCAATATAACTGATATTTGATCATGATACTGTATAATTGGAAGGTATCATTTTCAGTTGTGGTGTATGTGGAAACCTTATATATTTCATAAGTCGTCATAAACTTGAGGCATTACTCGGAGTCATTTACAGCGTCTTGTTTAATACTACCCCCTGGGTGCTCACCTTGTCCAAATAAAAGCTTTTCCCCCCAACTTTGAATTTTTGTAATCCCCGGGAAACTGCCTCTCTTGTTCCTTTCTTCTGGATACATATATATAATTCTCCATTGCATTCCATTTTCCTGAAAATTTTCTGGGATTTCGGGGTCAAGAGGAGGTCATCTAGCATATCTACTATCCACTATCCATACAGCCACAATTTCCTCTACAGAAATTTTGAAAGTCCTTATATGCTTGCCTTCATTTTTTGACCGTTAGTACAAAGGTGAAAACTAATTATCTGGAGAGACAGGCTTTTTTCGAGAGACAGAGAAGGGATGGAGACTCTATTGAGATGGCGAGAGAGAGAGAAGTCATGGAGAAGTTTTGGTGCCATTTTTTTTTATCGTCCCCACCCTTAAAAAGGCTCCAATTTTCTTAAGCCTGGTGTACTACAAAAACATTTATGAAGGCAATCGTGCACACCTCCCTTATCCTCAAGCAAGAAATAGAACCTCCTCCACCATCAAACAACAATTCTCTTAAATAGTATGATATTATGTAGTCTCTACTTTTCTATAATCTTTATGTAAATGGTTGTGTATTCCTGGTGGAGTTGTATCTGTGTTTGCTAATGCTTTGAATCATGTTTAATATGTTATACTGGCTAACTTATATTTGATCTCCTAGTGGTGTTTGTCAAGGCAGCTGCTTTCAACAAGAAAGAAAGTTCAATTAAAATAGGGAGATATGTATACGGCCAGTAGGATACTTGTCTACAATTATCGTCTAGACATTAATGGGAAAGAGCTTGCTCAAAATCATGTGAGCTGATATGTGTAGTATTCTCTTGCAGGAACCTGCAAAATGCTTGCCAAGATTGGAGCAATAGCTGTTTGTTAAGATAAGTACCTTGAGCTTTACTACAAATAAAACTATGCATTGAGTATTGGTGGTAACAAGGTGTATTCTTTATCCTTGTTATTGACTTTGGTAGACAGTTCTGTGGTAAAACTGGCTCTTTTTCCAACCAGTATATGTGTGGGGGAATTTTTTGATACCTGTTCTTTTCGTATTATCTTTATTTCTGTTGTGCTTCCCTTCATGAATTTTTTGTCTTGTATGTAAGTCTTACCCGCTAGGGATGAACCTTGCATTCCCCACAAGGAGTTGATGTGAGCAATTGGCTCTAACAATTTGCTTAGTCTCTTTGATTCTGTGGGAAAAAGATCTTTAAGCCTTTTCTTCCGAGTTCAAGTATTACGAACCATAGATCTTTGAGATGGTAATTTGTGCCTGATGTATTGAACTTTTTTTTTTTCTTCCAATCCTGATCTCGAAGTCTCACTGCAGTAACAAAGCAAGAAAGATGAGTCGAGAGGACGTAAACTGTGAACTCTAGATTTCTTAAAATAATTGCTTATCCATGTAAAATGCAGGTAATGTAAATTTAGGTGCCTTATCTAGAATTTTTTTGACATAATCTTTCTGGTTCTGGCGCATTTTAAAATAATCATTTAGATCTGTCTATTTCTGTTTTACATCCGTTTGAAGAGAATGCCAACGTTTTAAAATGAAACAAATGCAGATTTTCAATTGTGAATCATGTTACCTTGGGCAATTCTGTATTTCAGTCCTTTGATGGGTTGGAAGAAGAAAGGCAAGATTTGGAAGGAACTTCAACTGTTCTTACATTATTTTGGTAAGCAAGGATTAATTTGGCTGTGATGGAGGTTTTCTGTTAGTATTTTGATATGTCTACTCAAGTAGAAGGAAATAGATGTGTATAAACTGATTATCGCACATTATTTTAACCTCAAGGAGGTAGGCTTAGTTCAAGTTTCGTTCATTCTCCTTAGGCGCAATGAGATTTACCCGTGCTCATTCATGTTCATTGTGCTTGTTTAAGAACAACTTTGGCTAGTCTTATTTCTGAAGTGCACCTAGTGGATGGGATTATCATACGATAACTTTGCATTCACATAGTGGACAATGGACTGTCTAAGTACTTACTGGCATTTCAAGCACTGCTCAAATAGTAGCCTTTTATATGCATTACTAATTACATCGTTGTTCCTCACTGAGATTGTTGCGGATAATCACTTTTTTCTTCTGGAGGGAGATGAATTGTGAATTTTAAGATTATGTGCACAGTTGTCTGGATCTTCTTGCTGAATTTAGCTCTTCACTTCATTTACAGATGTAGTTTATTAAGTGTTTTCTTTGCTTCTGCGTGTCTTATTGCTATGTTCTTCAAGTAGGGGGTTCTCACCTCATTGGAGTCTCGCACTTGTTGGATAATGGCTTTGGATGTTTCCCTTGGTAAACATATTGTTTGGCATAAAGTAAGTACCCTCAAATATGGTGTTCTTTTCAGGAGGTTTGTGGGCTCATCGTTTTTCCAGCAAAGCAGTTAAAGGTCCTGAGAAATTTGAAATGGTAAAAACAATAGATGTTGGAAGATGTTGCAGGGCCCATGGCGTTTGCAAGAGGCTGTATCACATCCCAAATAGCAAAAGCCTCTGCATGAACGATGTTTGAATTTTCTCCCGGTCCTCATAGCATCCAATCCTAGAAGGAACCAAAATCATGAATCTTTGTAGCCCAAGCCCATCTGTCCTCTTTGGGTTTTTCCATTCGGACTTCTCCTCAAGGTTTTTAAAATACATTTGCTAGGGAGAGGTTTTCACACCCTTATAAAGAATGCTTCGTTCTCCTCTCCAACTGATGTGGAATCTTACAATCCACCCCTCTTTGGGGTCTAGCATCCTCGTTGGTACTCGTTCCCTTCTCCAATCAATGTGGGACCTCCCAATCCACCCCTTGATCCGGCGTCTTTGTTGGCACACTGCCTTATGTCCATCACCCTTAGGGGCTCAACTTCCTCGCTAGTACATTCCCTAATGTCTGGTTCTGATACCATTTGTAACGACCTAAGTCTACTGTTAGCAGATATTATTCTCTTTGGGCTTTTCCTTTTCGGCTTCTCCTCGAGGCTTTTAAAACACTTGCTAGGGAGAGGTTTCCATACGCTTATAAAGAATGCTTCTTTCTCCTCTCCAACCGATGTATGATCTCACATTTTCCCTCTCAAATATTTTTGCTGGGTCATACCTAACTCATTGGCTTTGGACTTTGAACATTTCTGGCGCTTTGGCCTACATATCTCTGTCTAGGTCTTCCCAAGGGCAGCAATGTTATTTCTGTTATGGGGTTCCTGTTGGCAGTACCCGGAAAAAGAACCTCTCAAAAATTGGTGGGGAACAGTTTTTTTTTCTTTTTTCGGTTGCTTCTTGGTTTGAAGGCCTAGCTGCTATCATCTCCTTGGTTACAGCTATAGCTCTTACACTAATTTGCAGTGGGGTGGCTCTCAAGTTAGCGTTAGAACATAGTGAAGGGAATTTTATTCAGATGTCCCTATATCATTATTATTTGCATCCATGGGCTTTTAAAAATTCAAATTTAGGCAAGCATGTCTCCAGTTACCTGTTAAGATCAGTAGCTTTCCATACGATGTTCTGACTTCTTCTTCGTTGCATATTCATTGACAGGGAAGCATGATGTTATGCCTGTCTCACACCTGATCCATCCCTCAATCATCATTTCACAGGTCAAAATCATGCCATTGGTGCTCACAACTGATCAATCATCATCGAGTCATTCCAGTGATGATGGGGATAGCGTTCTTCGTCAGCCGGCACTCTGCAAAACCCTCTGGCTGCTGCTTTAGTTGACTACCCAAGTTCAGACTTCTGATTGTTTGTTCCGACCCACGTTTTGTATGGTGCAAAGCTGTAATCTTAGAGAGAGGTCTTCTCCACTTCGATTGACTTTTTTTCAAAAAAAATAAAAAAGAAAAATACTTTTTTCAACACCAGTTTATAGTATCAAAATGTTATAATTTTACGTGAGTTTTAAATTTTGTGATGACTAGGGTTCGAGATCTACGCTTTTACCTTTGATTTTTCTCTTAATATACTCACTTTTTCGTCCTTGGTAATAATATTATACAATGATTGTCAGTTTTCCAATAAGAGATTTGAATTTGTAATTAAACATGATTTTTAGCTGTAAGTATCTTTGTTTTTTTATTCACCTTCGAGATTTGATAATTAAAGAAAAATTAGTTTTTAAAGTTTGACTAAGAATAGTGTTTATAAGCTTCATTTTTAAAAATAATAGATAAAAAATTAAATGATTATCAAACGAGAACCGTCTTTTCTTTTTAGGGAAGGAGAACTTTATTTGAACAACATTGCTTTAGCTTAGCCAAGAAGAGCAGCTGCCCGCAGAGGGAATGTGAAAATAACCCCAACAGTAAGGATATGACCACATGCAAACCAACAACAAAATAGATGCCCAAAAACAACATTGCTCAAGACAATGAACTGTTTTACAAGTAAGCAAGGCATTAGTAGGATATTTGAAGGGCTTTACAAACAAACATAACCGATTGGGCAGCTAACTCAACTTTCTGATACTTCACGTGAAAACTAAAGTCTTCCCAAGCACAAAGGTGACCAGCGTGAGTTCAATAAAAAATATAGTGTTCAGCAGAGCTCTGTTAACTGTCCACCCAAAAATGGTGATTCCCCCTGGATTCATCTGCAAATACATCACTGCACCATGGAGACTAAGTTAAAAACAGCATGAACAGCATGAAACACATAGTATTCAGGTTCCTATAGAGTTTTAAAGATCCTATTGGGCAAAATATTGATTGAGTTGATGACTATATCTGAGTTTCTTACCAAATGCTTCTCTTTTATGATAGGAGGACATATAAGAAGCTAGCTGTGTGGTTGTAGGCATTGTAACAATATCCAAAGACTCCAAATCACTTTCAGAGTAAGCACATGTCATTGAGTTCAGTCTTTTAGGAGATTCCGAGTTCCCGTCCCCGTTCGGATGTCGAGTTTGAGATACATCACCTGGACCACAAGTCACTAAAGCATGCCATCTACTTGCTACTGATGCAATTCCTTGGGCTCTGTGGGAAATCTTCGTTGCTCCATGCAAGCAAAGAATCACTCCAACCACTTGAACAATTGCAGATACCTACAAGTTGAGAAGAACAAGTAAGGAAAATCAGGCTTTAAAGGTCGAGATTCGTCTCGACATATTGCTGACAAACCAACATCAAGCCTTGGATATATATACAACCAAGTCTCCAAGTCTTGAGCTCATAAAACGATCTACATGTATCTAAGAAAGATAGTTGTAAGAAATTGATGAACTTACTGCAAAATCACCACTATTTATGAGGGTAACCATTGCACTATATCTTGTGGTCTGGAATAGAGTCATAAACTGGCTTGCAGTCACAACCAAGAAGTCTAGAAGAAGAAAGATTCTGAATCTGTGGCTTATCTTGGACAAATGATAGCGTAGGAAAATATGCTCCTCAATTAGCAACAAAACTTCAGACTCTGTCTGCAGGAGCTTTGCATAGTTATCAAAGTGGATGACTTGTAAATTACACATCAGATGAAACACAATGGCGGCGGACAGAGAGATCAAGCTCAGATAAGTCCAGGATATGGTCATAGCCAGTAAGATAGCAACCGATACACCCCACGATACACGCTCCGCATATAGTATTCGAATTACCTCTCGAGCAGCCTTCAAAATGAAACATGGCAGTGCCCAGAAGACAAGCAAACGTATTGAACCCTGTGCAGATAGATGGTCAAACCAAGTTCTTTCTAATATCACTGTTCAGATTTACATGACAAATAGATCCAAAGAAGTGAAAATGAGCAAACTTTAAATTACTATGTCAAAAGGTACTACTTTTGATCAACACCTTATGTTCATGAACTTATTTGACCGGAATGAGTGACATTTCATATCCGTAGGCATTCACAATCATAGATGAGATAATACAACTTATATCATCGAATTATGTAACGGTCTGCTTAGGCCTACCGCTAGCAGATATTGTCCTCTTTGGACTTTTCCTCTCGAGCTTCCCCCAAGATTTTTAGAATGCGTATAGGGAAAGGCTTCCACACCTTTGTAAAGGGTATTTCGTTCTCCTCCCCAATCGACGTGCGATCTCACATATTACCATGGAGATAAGAGACTAATGTTTCTATTTATCAAAAGAAGATTAAGTTTTAGAAGCTCACCCGTATCTTCTTGACATAGTCTTTGCGAAACCCAGCCAAAGAGCTGATCTGCCTATCAACACTGAGGAACCTCTTTATACCATATTTTCTGAGGTTGTGAGAAAGACAGAGCAGAGACACAGCTGCGAGACAAGCTTGGGAGGCAACTATGTCAAGCTCAAAATCCTTAATCTGGTGCTGCTTGCAGGCGGCGCAATCTGTGAGCTGCAGCATAACAACAGGCAGAACAATACCGACAAGAACAAAACCAGACCAAGACAAAACACAGCTCAAAACAGAGGATTGGTGGAAGCCCAAAAAGCCAAGCAATGTGTCGAACAGTTTGAGAGCACTGTCCAAATGGGCTTCTTCACCGTCTTCTTCTCGCCTTGTGGTTTGTGAACTCTGATTCTGATTAGAATCAAGAAGTGGAAGATGGGCTTCAGGATCGTCAATATCCACATGATCACGATGCTTAGCCATTGAAGTTGAAGATCAACACAAACTTGAAACTTCTCTTCTTTGGGTATGGGGTTTTGGTAATTGGGGATTTCCATCCAAGATGGAAGGAAGTCAATATCTTATACAAAACATCGAACTCAGTTCCCTCAAATTAAAATGTCTCGAACAAACCCATTCCAGACAAGTATAAAGAACTCAAGATTCGTACACAGTGGGCGGCAATAACTGCGAATATCTGGGGCCTCGAGTTTTAGCCGTTGGCTGGAATCAAACTGTTCTTCCCATGAAGATTTTAATAATCAGGACCGTTGAAATAAGAAGGAACAGAAATTAAATACAAATGGCGCAGTAGGAGATTCACCTTGGCTAGATTTTAGCATTTTAGCAGGAAAAAAAAAGTGCGATCCATGTCGTAAGCTTGTGATCTCTCTCCCTTTTTTTTTTTCTTTTCGTTTGCTTCACATCCCGGCAAAAGACATTTTAATTACATTTCATAATAACTTTCCAACAAATATTTCTGTATTTTAGATTTAAATTATGTTTTAGTTTCAGAAATTTTTTGTATTTTAGATTTAAATTATAGTTTCAGAAATTTTATTTATGTATAGCTTGATCAAATTTTAAATATTTTAGTTTAGCTTTTTAAAATTTAAATTATAATTTTAGCCGTGTCATTTATGAAAATAATTATCAAAGAATATTAGATTAGATTCCATTTTTTCTTATATCAAATTTTATAAAATTTATAAAATTTTATTTATTATTTATGAAAAGTTGGCTTAAAATTCTATAAAGAAAAACTATGAAACCAATATTCATAATTCACTTTTTAAAGTTGTTGATTACTATAACCTAATTAAAATTACTCAATATTAACTTTGGTCTTATATTTTAAATTAAAGTTAATGATGCACAATTATTTCTTAGATTAGCATGTTTAACATTTGATTTTATGATTGATAGGATGCTTTCTTATGAAAAGGACAAGAAATAATAATTTACCAAAAATTTTAAAAAAATAATAATAATAATCAGCTTCCCACAACTTGTGATTTATTTAATATTGTTAATTAAAATATGTGATCGCATGCTTGCAAAATAAAAAATAAAAAATATGACATCTGAAAGTCTAAATTTAAACCTTTTATATTCATAACCCTTTTTATTTAATTTCATTTAAAATTAAATTAAAATTATTATCCTCCCAATATAATATCAAACTATTAAAACAAAATTATTGAGAAAATATTAGAAAAAAGGAGATGAAGAATGGTTTATATCACTAAAAAATATAATTACTGTCACGTCCCACCTTAGATTACCCTAACGAATCTAAGATGAGCTCTCTTGACTACAAATCTTCAAGTGTCCTAAGTTTCTTTGAGCTCTGTTAGATATAAGATAAAGAATCACTACAAGTGAAACAAGTGAAGTAAGCTGACACAAGTATTTTCAATTTACTCATGTTTCCTAAGCTCCATATTGTTCGAAAAATAACTCACCAGCATGTATCAATCCTACCATTTGATCACATAGTATCACTTTTTCCCTTTCCGTGCAAGAAATCGTTCTCGAGCAGCCTGAATTTTGTTATCATGGCCATCAAGAGTTGGTGTGGTGCCTCCATCCTCTTTCTTCAGGGAGTCTTTAACGTTTCCCTCCATTGGCTCACTCGTAAGATCAGCACTGCCACCACTGTCAAGGGAAGAAAACTGCTAAGCTGGTCCATGAGCAAACTTCAATGCTTGACAAAAGATGGTATCGAGCGAACTGGCTTACCTTAATTTATTTACATTTAGATTCTTAACCTTGTTTAAAATGGGCATAACCCATTCAACCTGTACGGCACAGACATTGCGCATAAAGGGTCGTGATGTTGTAATCAGCTCATGGTACACAACATAGTCAGCAAATTTCCCATCTTCATCTGGCTTCATAACAGACGAGGGATGCACCTACAACGGAGACTTTTAGTTTAGATTAATTTCAAACAATGAAGCTGGAAATGGTCGACACTGTATTACAAAAGTACACGCCAACGTCGTACCTGAACGACTTGGGGCTTAAAACTAAGGGTTCGATAGCCATTGTGATGAATCATTCTCTCTGCAAGTTGATTGGCATAACCAACACATAAAGCCTTCCTCAAATTCCAGTACTCTGCCCGACTCTCCTTTTGGTTTCTGGATGTCCATACGTCTAATGATCCTGTGTTTTACTAGGATAATTAGGAAACTAGAGAGAATAATCTTAATTATATCTCTGGAAGAAAAGAAAAAGATAAATAAACAAAATATTAATCCAGATATCAGGCCCATTTCCGATGTCCTTAAACAGCCACCAACATCCTGGGGGGACTAAAAGAGAGTTATAATACGTTATACTAAGGCTCGGGTTTGGCTGGCTCCCTTGCATTGTAAATTGAGGTAGCACCCTAGCATTCAACATAACAATATTCAGTTCTGCCCTGTGAAAAGCTCAATAATTCCCCTCTAACCCATTTCAGCCATAAGATCTTGGCTCTTCCGTACAAGATGCTCTCTAAGTATTAGCATAAAAACAGTCCTTGGTACTATTCCCAAGGAAGATAATCTGTAGCTTGAAAAATGTTGAAAATATTATTCAACAGTTTGCTAGCTATAGAACATATAAAAACATGATCTGCAGCCTTCATGGTCGTCTTTACAGGTTTTTACCAGAGAATTTCTTTATTAAACTCCGTAAGACATTAAATTTAATATTTCAAGTAGCTAACCAGGACATCCATCACTATGATTTCTGAACTCCAAACTAGTGATTTCTATTTTCTAATCAAACGTGGAACTATAAGGCGTCACATTTCATATCATCCTTCGTGTCATCTTTCTTCAACACTAAACTGGAAGCCAATATTTTCACATTAATTTTCTAAACATGATACCAGAAATGATACCAACCTTTGGCTATTTTCTGCATTATTTGACACAGCTGTTTCCGTACGTCTTTGACAAACAGCATCCCTCTGACCTGCAATAGTAAGCTCGACAGTTAATTTCCCCCCATTAGTTATTTATTTTCATTCTGTCTTGTTTTGTTTTATTAATATGGAACACGAAAATCATTAGTAAGAGAAACCATTATAAGAAGGAAGGTAAGAACTCACGTTTCTTAATTTCCAAAAAGAAGGTAAATAATCCAAAGAAAAAGTCCTAGTTAATTGACAAATCCATGTGGGTATTCTGTTGTCCACTCACCAATCTTGGATTTGGATATGGATCAAACCCATGTGAATTCCACCCATGATTCTTAGGCTTTGATATGGAAGCACACAGGACCATTAAGGAGAGAAGCCTGCCTCTACAAATGGGCTCCCTCCCCAAGGTAGTATATGAAAAATAAAGGGTGTTAGGAGAAATTCCATCACTCGTTTTATTTTCCTTAATAAGTTAATTTGTTTTTTTTTCTTTCCTTCTGATTTTTTTGCTAAGAATTCTCATGTTTCGAGAAAACATTAGAATAGCGAAAAATAAATTTTGTTTATTCTGATTATTGTAATATTCTCACATGTCCAAAGGTAAACATTCACAGAAGGTTAGAGTGATTGGCAGTTTTACAATGTACATGACAGATCCCATAAAGGATAAAATCGTTTATTATTATTAATTTAAATTTCTAACGTGCTATGACACAGCTGAGACACATAAAGGATAAAATCCGAAATTTTAAGAGCCAAAAAAAGCCAAATTGCCCAACCCAATCCTTTTAAAGCCCAACCCCATGATAAGTTAAATGAAAACCCCTAAGATCAAAATCTAAAACATCTACGGAAAATAGGCCCAAGTCAAACGCGCATCAATATATAGCACGTACAAACCATATATTTTGGTTACTAATTTCTATCTTACAAATAATGCCTAGCATGAATATGTTTCAGAAACGGACTATTCAAACTTGCCTGTAATTCGCGGTCTTTGCACCAGTTAACATCGTAATTCTCTTGATCCCAAAGCTCAAATATCTGTAGTAATTGGATGTGGTCACCCCAGCCAGAGCCATCAGGAAGGTCCAAGGACCTGTGCTTCCTCTTCTTATCAGCATTCTTTCTACAGACAAAAGCAGGTAAATTATCATTGAGAGGATCCATGACCAGACCTACTCACTTCATTAATGTTGTGTTACCAATGATCATAAGATATGACACAAGGCTGAATATGTAAACTCACACGTCTAGTGTCAACGTGTAGGTTCTATTCTATACATTCAATGGACAAAGATGTAGGGATCAACACCTATCTAAATTTTAAGAATGATACTTCAAAAAAATTGAAAAGTTAATAGTCTCACATAATTTTATGAGAGAAAGTTGTAACAGTCCAAGCCCACCGCTAGCTATATTGTCTTATTTGGACTTTCCTTTTCGGTTTGGGATTTCCCTTTCGGGCTTCCCCTCAAGGTTTTAAAACGCGGCTGCTAGAGAGAGGTTTCCACACCCTTATAAGAAATGTTTTGTTCCCTTCTCCAACCAACGTGAGATCTCACAAAAGTTCTCAAGTAATAACAAACAACAAAGGAGTCTCCATAAACAGTGAGAGGTTCAGGTTTTAACGGTAGAAAACAGAATAATCAGAAACTGAGCCGTGTACGCTGTTCCATACAATGATAGTTATAGCTCTAGGTTGTGATGCAATGATCGTGAGATAAATTCTGAGGTTGTACAATCATTTCGTTAACGCTACAAACTAGTTTGTATAAACATAACTCACTAGATTTTTAACGAATTGAAGGACAAATTAATTTAAAATTAGGTAGAGTGAAAAAATAAAAGTATGCAGGATACATATTTTCTCCTAAATGAACTATGAAATAAAGATTACGTCAGAGAAGTTAGGGACCCCAAAGCAAATCATACCAACTGACGGTACATAGTTTATGGTAATAAGTCTGCAGACTAACAGAATTCAAATGAATTTTGTTTTAACAATATTATTAAAACCAGACTTTAATTGAGCTAGCACCTGCGACCAGGAAGCAATGTCGTCTCTGCTGATAACATTGCAGCAACAGTCAAAGCATGGGATATACAACCATACTCATTTGCCTCTATCAAGGTTCGTGAGAGTGAAGGTTCTAGTGGAAGCTCTGCACGAGAGATCATAAAACGTAGCACCAAAACTGATTAATTGTTTGTCCTACATTTAGATATGCAAATAAAGTTGATAAGACAGAAATTATTGCAGTACAACAATCATTTTTTCATTTATCCTGTTTAACATCTATCAGTTATCAAACACAAAGAACTCGTTTACCAAAAATCCAACATAAAGCATTGAAGTTTGCATGCAATCCTAACCCAACAGTAGTAGAAATAAATTCAACACGAGCACAATGTCATCAATCTTGACAAACACCCACACCTAAGATACAGAATTGTGATTCTGCTACAATCATAA